TGATTTTATTCATACTTTCATTCTTTATCCGAGAATCCACTTCTTCCCCTTTCGCACACCAATAATCCTACTATATAAAATAAACTTAACTGACTTGATACGCATCAAAATCACTACTTTGGATATTTTATGAAATAGGAATGTCCAGCAGAATCAGCTATACCATAAAAAAAAAACAATCATTTTGGAAATCGAGATTTTTGAAAATGAGAATGATAAGTGAGACCTAACCTTGATTTTCAGTGGCAGAACAGAACTAGCGCCGATAAGAGATGGAGGAAGGCCGGCAATGAGGATCCAGCGCCGGCGGTTATGTCACCTAACCTCCGGCACCTCTCTCTCCGGTCCAACTGCGTCGGTTCGGCTGAGCAGTGAGTTACGGCGGAAAAAAAAAAGGAAAGAGACAAAAGGAATTGAACCCCGGTTTTCCAAAATTTACTCCACAAAACAACCGCAAGGTTTTTTTTTTTTTTTTTGTTAACAAATTTTTTTCCCTCGACGAAATCCATTCCATGCAAACACAGAATCTTATGCAACACAGAAAGAAGTGAACGAAAACCAAGAAAATAGTGTGGGGAAATAATAAGTGAGTCATATATATATTTTACGTGTCTACGAGATAAAATAATATTTTCCTGAGTATTAACTTGAAATGTTTGTCATATATTTAATACAAATATATAAAAGAACTAGAATAAATTACGGTTATCTTTTTAATTTTTGAAATTTCACAAAAATTATCTCAAAATAACATATAGGGAAAAATGTTCCTTAATTCTTAAAATTGAAAGGCTAACTTAACTTACCTATCTAAATAATCATATCACAGTAATTGTCACACCACTTGAATTGAATTAGTTTCATACATATGGTTTTTTTTTTTTTTGAGTTACCCAACCGTAATTACTTCTTTGAGGCGAGTTGGCTCCCTCCGGTATCCCCACAAGCTTTGACTCTTTGAGCCGACTATGGGACTAATCCGGAGTGCGGGGGTCAGTGATGGCTAAAGGTTCAGCCCCCTCCCCAAGAATGCATTCAGCGGGAATCGAACACATGCTCCAACCCCACTAACTCAGCGCCAAGGAACCAACTGAGCTGCACCCATTGGGTATACATATGGTTTCTTTGCTCGGGTGGTGAAGATATTGGGAAACTTGACGCACCCAAAAATTAATTAAGATCCTAGAATCCAAAAATAATAATAATAATGGAAAAGCATTTCTCCAGTATTTAAAGATAAAATTATCTTTGGTGAACACAAAATAATATCGTTTTGAAGTTGAAAGATTAAAAAATTTAAAAGATAAAATAACCTTGAAATAAATTAGAATTATAAAAATACTTTTTTCTTAACTCAAAATTACATTGTTTTGAGTTAAGTAAAAATAAGTTATCTTCAATTACTGAAGAAACAGTTAACTGACGCACCCAAAAATTAATTAAGATCCTAGAATCCAAAAATAATAATAATAATGGAAAAGCATTTCTTCAGTATTTAAAGATAAAATTATCTTTGGTGAACACAAAATAATATCGTTTTGAAGTTGAAAGATTAAAAAATTTAAAAGATAAAATAACCTTGAAATAAATTAGAATTATAAAAATACTTTTTTCTTAACTCAAAATTACATTGTTTTGAGTTAAGTAAAAATAAGTTATCTTCAATTACTGAAGAAACAGTTAACTCTAATAATTATTATTATTATTATTATGTGTATATATAGAAAAATGTGTTTTTCATGTTGCATGAAATAAATTATTTTATATAAGTTAATCTCACTCATTTTTTATGTGTTATATGAGATAAATTTATCTCATGCAAGATGGGAAACACATTTCTCGTATGTATATATATATATATATATATATATATATATATATATGGGATTTGCATTCATCATTTAACATGACCACAAAAAGTTTTCTACACACACAATATTTTGTGGTACCCGCATGTTTTGAAGAAGAAAAAAACTATGGCACGCAAAACGAATCTCTATAACATAACATAATCAACTTTCCTACAATATAACTCTTATAAAACCATATATATATATATATATAGGCTTATCATTTCTCAAGCTGCTTGAGACAATGTTATCTCCGGCTACAAAATCATAACCGTACAAAGATGGATCAATGGTGATAAAGGAAGAGAGAAAAAAAAGGAATCATAACCATTCAAAGATGAATCAATTAATATAAGAAAATAAATAAACAAAACGACGTAGTTTTGGGGTGGCCGGAGATAACATTGTCTCAAGCAACTTGAGAAATGTTTTTCCCATATAAAAATATATATAGGGGAAACTATACTAAGTATGACCGGTCATACTTCAATCAAGAGTATATGACCGATCATACTTAATGTAATTTGTAAAAAAAAGTTTGTAAACATATCATTTCCCATATATATATATATATATATATATATATATATATATATATATATATATTTTGTTCCCCGTAGGAATTTAGAACCTTTATCTATCGATGTTTTTAAATAGTAGTAATATTAATGTATCAAATTTTTATTAATTTGGTGGTGTATAAATTTAAGTTCTACAGCAAAAAAAAAAAAAAATCCGAAAGATCTTTAAACCGCACATGATTTAATTTGTTGTACATGTCAAGTTTCCTCCACTCAAATGCATAGGGAACATACCGATTGTGTACAAAGCTAAAGACCAGTCACCAGTGAGTTATGTCACATAAAAAGAAATAACGAAAGATTATATACAGCACAGGTGATACAGGGAGCGTTGACAGAGAACACTTCAATCAGTTGAGTGGAAGTTCTAGCAATTTATATGACTATGGAAGAAGGTGCTTATTGTTGACTTTCGTACCCAAAAACTTCTCTATTCATAAAGCAAAGTTCGCATTTGTAAGATGTGTCAAGCATTGGCATGTATGGTATGATGAAAAGCAGGAATTTGATACTGCATAAATATGAAGAAATGAATATTTTAGTAGCCAAACAAAATGTCATCCCTTTTTCAGATAAATTAATGGGTATCCATCCTCAAAGTTAAGTTGCAAATGCAAGTGATTCGTAAGAGGTGGTTGGTTACACTCTCCTTAGTACAGAAATATTTCTTTTTCTTCTTTTGGCGGGCTTTACTTGTAACATGAGATATCATTGTAAGTTTGGGTTTGTAATAAAGAATATTCTATTTCACTGGCCAGTGAAGTTTGGGCAAATATATATGGGTCCCTCTTTTCTCATGTTCTAGGAGAAAGAATTCTCCTACTATAGACACAATAAGTGATGGGTCTCACCTCTTATTAAAAAATAAAAATAAAAAAAGTTGTTGCACACATTTCGATGTCTCTCTAGTAGGAGAAAGAATTCTCATGTAACATGAGAATTCTTTTTCCCAATATATATATGGGTTTTATAATTCTCATTTAACATGAGAATTATAATTTTCCTACACACCTTTCAATTTCCGTGCTGACATGGGTCCTACGTATAATTTTTTCTTACACATGGGGTCTCATATGCTTTTTATCTCTACAACATGAGATTTCAATTCTCCTTCAATATGAGAATTATAAAACCCTATATATATATAATACTATGAGATAAGAATCCTTAAGATTTAAAAGGACTAGGGAACTTCCTTTTGACAACAAAGCTCAGAGCAACTTTTCCTTCTACACTTCATGCCTTGGTGGAAATGTTCCTAAAAAATAATCATGAATGGCATATCCTTAAGTTATGCATATCTATCTACCTTCAAAGATTACCAATATATTTCTACAAAAAAATAAATAAAAGATTACCAATATATCCATTTACTTTAGTTGTGCAAAATTTCTTATGTATCATTGTCCTTTTCTTATAGATTTAGAGAGAAATTGATAGAACAACCATGAATAGTTAATTTTGTCGTTTTGTCATCCTCCAATAATAGAAGTTGTTATTCCAATCAATTCATGATAAACTTTGCACTTAAAAAATATTTATAACCTCCATTTTACCATCACATCTTTAGTACTACTGTAGTATGTATTACTTTACTAAAAGTAGAAAAAGGTGATGGTTTATAAAAAAATAACCATACAAGAAAAGGTAAAATGGTAAAAAATAATTATTATTATTTTTCAAATTGAGCAAATGATGCATTGAGTTTTCAGTACTCCCGTAGTACTACCAAGATATTTCTACTCTATCTTGCAAATATTTGAAACGTCAAATATTTGCAATATAGAGAGCAAATTGCTACTGCTTTTATAGTTGATAATTTCTGTCCATCGAGTTTGTATTACACATTGTTTGGTTTAAGTCTCGCAGCAATCACTATCATTGGGTTCTTGTTTGTCTCCTCCACAGTGACTAGAAGCAATTAACCATAAAAATTTGATGCCTGTTACTATTTCGTGATTTTAGCTATGTCACTTCATCTTGAACTTTCTCTTATAATGCTATCTTCAGCCAGTGCTTTTAGCTCTAATGCTGATTGGTGAACACCATGGACCTTGACAACCTACCATTATGTGAAGGGGAAAAAAAAAGCCTAGAATAACGGGAACTGATAATCAACTTGACAAGCCCTTGTCTTTGCACCGCTCCATGACTCCATTGACTACTTTCACTATGAGTGAACACAGCTTGGTTGGTGGCATATTATTATTGATTTACATTAACCTTTTAACTTGTTCTAGAGATCTTTTTGCAACTTGTGGATAAATGGGTTGCAAGACAAGACTTAATATTGAAAGGATCATTATCATGAATATCAAGCATCCAATTATGTTAATTGGGTGTCAAGTACATGAGAATGCAAGACAGCTTACCCCCATGTGTGACTGACCAAATGGTATATCTAATATCACCCATCCATTGCTGTCCCCACAGAGCATAATTTTTCTTCTTCATACATTAAGCATATCGATTCTATGTCCAACCCCATCAATCACATGCGTGTGTGTATATATATACGTATGAATGATGGCAGAAGTGTCAACTAGTCCCAAACTATCTCTAACGTAAGTAGAACTACTTGTATCATCCACTTGTTTTATGATGCTAATGTCTGCAGAGAGCTTTTAATCCAAGTTTTTCCACATATAACCATTACCCCAGAATCTCTCTGGTTCTATTCAAATATCACACGCTTTAGCCGTTAAGAATCAAGGTAGGAAAAAAATGGAAGCTGTCAAGTTGGTCTCCAGTGATCCAAGTGAGAGAAGAGACACATACCGAGTTGCTTACATAATCCATTTCTTGCTTGGTGCTGGAAACTTGCTTCCTTGGAATGCGTTAATCACAGCAGTTGATTACTTTGCCTACCTCTATCCAACCAACCACATTGAAAAGGTTTTCTCTGTGGCTTATATGACTTCATCTGTGGTAGTACTTCTTGTGATGATGAGTTGGGGAGGTTGGAGTAAAACAACATTGAGGTTGAGAATGAACTTGGGATTTTCTATGTTTGTTATGTCTCTGATGATAGCTCCTGTCATAGACTGGGCCTCCAGCAGCACCAAGCTAAAAGAGAGACCAAGTGGTGCCTATGGCTTGACAGTTGCAGCAGTGGTAATATGTGGTTTAGCAGATGGCTTGGTTGGTGGAAGCTTGATAGGATCAGCTGGAAAGCTTCCAAAACAGTATATGCAAGCCGTTTTTGCTGGAACTGCTTCCTCAGGTACAAGGCAATTCTGTGCCCTCGAAGTTCAATTTTACTTTCCTCTTTCCATTACAAACAGGCAGATTATGTTTTTCTATATTTGAACAAATTCTCATGAATATGAAAATTCTGCATAAGATGAAGCTTTTAAACAATAAAGCAGTTTTAAACAAGACCACAATGCGTACTTTTATTCTTTTTAAGTACATACAAGCTTTAGAAGGTTAGGTGAAAGAAAAAAATAATAATAAGCAGATTCTAGAGTCATGTTTTCTTGGTTTTAAACTTGGCACTGCATTCTACCTATGTGAGAAGATATTGTGTGTTTTAGCATATTCTTTCATCCATACTCGATGGATAATCCTAGTCATCTGATAAAACCATTCGATAACTTACATCAACGACCACTTAAATATAAATACTACTGACTTTTGAAGCTGTGATTGACCTTGCTGCTTTTCTTGCTTAACTAAATTGTACTTGGTAGGATTGAAATATGATAATTTGTGGTGACAAGTGATGCCTTTGGTTCCTCTAGTTTTCACACACATGTAACAGCTAAAGCCATTTCTGCTGTAAAATTGAATCTCAATAATCTATATAGAGCAAATTCAGTAGTAACTAGGAAACTCAGGTTCTATCAAAGTTCATTCTTATACCACTAATCAAAGTTGTTGTTGGGTGACAGGTATTATAATTTCAATGTTGAGGATAATAACCAAGGCATCACTCCCGCAAACCCCAAAGGGCCTCAAAATAAGTGCCCACTTGTACTTCATGGTTGCCACACTTTTCCTCCTATGTTGCATCGTCTTTAGCAACTTGCAGCACAAGTTACCAGTCATGCAGCAGTATCATCAGAGTCTTCCTCAGGAGAGCACCTTATGCTCAGGGACAAAATTTTGGGCAGTGGCAGGAAAAATTAAGAGGCCAGCTTTTGGAATTTTCATAATCTACATAGTGACTCTGTCTATTTTCCCAGGATTTATTGCGGAAGATCTCGAATCCAAGATTCTTAAGGATTGGTATCCTATTTTACTGATAACAGTTTATAACTTAGCTGATTTGATAGGGAAGTCATTAACTGCCTTCTATGTTCCACAATCTATCACAAGGGCAATATGGGCCGCCACGGCCAGGCTTCTATTCTATCCACTATTTATAGTTTGTCTTCATGGACCCAAGTGGATGAAAACAGAAGTACCAATGGTGGTTCTGACATTTATGCTTGGATTTACCAATGGGTACCTCACCAGTGTTCTTATGATTCTAGCACCCAAGTCAGTGCCATTCACAGAATCAGAGTTATCTGCTATTGTGATGACCGTGTTCCTTGGCTTCGGCTTGGTTGGCGGTTCAGTCTTGGGCTGGTTCTGGATCTTATGAAGGCCAACTTCCGCTGTAATAAAATGAGCAAAAGGCAGTAGCATTCATTGTAGACCGTAAGGCAAGAAAACAATAGCTCCGTGGCCCCAACTAGGTTGTTAGTTTATTAGTTCTCTTATGTTCTAAGTGACAAATCTGACCACGCCAGAACATGAGAAACGCGGAGATTATTAGGCATGTAAAATGTACTGTAACGAATCAGTGTACTGTGAATGAAATTTAAGATCTGTTCAAATAGGAAAAGTGCACCCAGGCTACAAATGCAAACAAGTTTCTCTTTCGCAGGATACGAAAGAACACGCTCGTCTACGCATTCTTATCGTCTGTAAAATTCGAAAATTTGCAACTTTTTTCCGCCCTCCATGGCAAGATTTATAAACCATCTTAAACCTTTTACTTAAAAGGCAAATGGCAATGGTTGAATCTATCATGACCGTTTCACAAAACAAAGCACAAGCTAACAAATTCTCCATTAATAAACATTATTTGCAAACGTATCATTCCCCCTACTACAGCTGCGGATTTTGATTTGTTCATACGTTATGCCAGCTACCACAAAATTTCAAAATTTGCCACCTTATATCTACACGTATGAACAATATAACTCCAAAAATGTGCAAATATCGTTGTTATTGACATAATACTACAAGAGAGAGAGAGAGAGAGAGAGATTTGACAAACCAATCAAAAGGAAAAGGAAAAGAAATTGACCCCATCTTTTATTCTTCCGTATTGTTGCTACAAGAATATTGATGACAAGGAGGGCAAAAACCATTACAACTATTTTCGTCGGCCAAAAGAAGTTACAAGGAAAGGTTATGGGAATATAAACAAAGGTTAGAAAGTTATATCAAAGGCCGCAGCTTAAGATGCAGCAGATAAAGGAGGAGGAAGTGGCGGAGCAGCTCCATGGAAGAAACAGTGAGATTTTTCAGAGGAATCTTCTTCCATTACATTACCCTCTTCCTCAGCGTCCCAAAGAAAATGAGCGTAGGATGCCAAAACATAACTACAAGAACAAAGCAAGCGTTCCGTTAGTTCAAGTTAAATTACGACTAACAGTAAGCTCTAGCTGTTTTCTACTAGTGTCTATGAAACCTTTATTTATAAACTAATTTCAAATAGAAATGATATAAACTAAAGAATTCAATACAACGCATGTAATATTCCATAATTTGTAATATTCAATATATGATGATTTCAATTCAGGTAAATAAATATTCAAGTCATGTAACCACTTCATTCCAAATATAATTTTTTTTTTCCCAATTCTATAGTTGATGTTCCAAACACACCATATTTTATACCAACAAAGAATTGAAGTTTCTTACCAGTCATCTGGGGCAGCTTTAGCTGCTCTATCAAAATAAGCCTCAGCTCGAGGAGCATCCTTATTGCTCTCCCATATCAACTCAGCGTAGAGCGATAACACGTTCCCATCATTTGGATTAGCCAAAATTGCTCTGCCACAATACTCTTCTGCTTTAACATAGTCCGCGCGAACCTTTCATCATACCAAAACTAAATCAACATAATCGATAATTGGATCCCCAAAAAAAGACATGTAATTCAAAGAGAAACTTTTAACTTCCAAATAGAAACTTTCACATACCTCTTTCAGGTACCTCGCGTAGTTGCTAAGAAAAAGTGGATTCCCGGGATTAGCTTCGATCATTGTACGGTAATACACGTCGGTGCTATCATTCCCGTGATTGGAATCCCAAAACCCAGAACGTCCACCATCATTGTTGTCCCATCCACCACCACCATCACCGCCTCCACCCTCAACCAAGACACGCATGAACCCATCGTCCCTGAGACCAACCCCACCCTCGCCTTCGTCCAACTCGGACAAAGAAAACAACGCGGACCCAAACGACGCCGTTCTCGAACGAGCACTGAATCTCTTCCCGCGCTTACTCTCCCCCTCCTCGTCTTCATCAAAGACGCGGTGGTTGAGAGCTTTACGCTTGGGCGGCGCGGAGAGATCCGTCTCCGACAGCGCCCGCGTCATTCTGTTAACGGAAGCGTCAATCGGCGATAAGGAACTCTGCGATGCCGACAGCGCAAAGGAACGAGTTCTCGGGATCTGGTGAAGGATTTCTGGTTCAGGAGAAGAATCCTTCGAGTTCGAGTGGAGAAGCCACGAGTTCAGAACCGGCGTGGATGAGCTTCGCAGAAACATTGTTGTTGTCATCGAGGTGATGAATCTGGTCCTGTCTTTCTCTCTTAAACCCTAAAAATAAGATCTCAACAGAGAAAATTCGGAGAATGCAAAAGAGAGAACTCGCTGACTCACAGATCAGAACACTGAGGAACGTGACGACGGGTTTTTATAAAGGAAGAATTGATCTGGACCGTTGATTTTTCATCGAGTGGGACCACTTGCGTTGGCGCCACTCACGAGGAAGTTGCGTGATCTGGGGCCCGCTTTTGAGATTTGAAACCGTTGGATTGGGTTGGACGGTGGTGATGAATGGATTCCAATCCTTCGATGCGAAAAAAAATCAAATCAAATCAATTGCTAGCTGTGGGTTGTGGGAAGAGTAGAGATTTTTCATAGTGACTTGTTTTGAGGCTTGGAAACGTTGAAGTCGCTGTTCGCCGAGGCTTGCGGTTGCGCCATTGGCTCAGCACCGCCGCGGCGATATTGTTGTGGGTCCCACCTCGCTGAGAGGACATTCATGTCATTTAATCATTGATAATGATATCCTTACCAAGCAGTACGGTTTGAACATTGAAGTCTTCCCTGAACTTGCTGTTGCTGAGATATTTAGTTCCTTTCTTACGCAAAGAATAGTCTAATACTAAACTTACATAACTAGACGTTAATTTTAGTAATTTACAAATACATTTAAAGTTATTAACTTTTTGTTGGAAATATTAAAGATGTTATTATTCTGCAAAATAACTTGTCAAGAAAAATTGATATTGAGGATTTTAATTCAATATATTTATAAATATATTTACATAACATAGTTTATCAACAACAACAACAAAAAAGCGCACTAACATAGACATTTTCTTTAAACTTATTTATAAAGCTAGACATGGTGCTTCTCTTATTAAAATTAAGGCGACTAGGCGAGGGTCTTCGCCTTAGTCTTAAAGTAAGTGGATTAAATAAAATTTTGTTATGAAGAAGTAAGCATGATTAGGTGCTCAATTTTTCTTTTTTAATAAATGGATATCCACTGGTTCATTATAATTTCTTTCAAATTATAGTTGTATTTGTAGCCAAATTGTATTACTCACATTTCAATTAGATGTTCGCTATTCATGATTAATTCGCCCATAACACAACTTGACCCCGCTTATATGATAAATAAATTAAATTGAAAAACTTTATTTTCGGCTCGTTAATTACTCACTTATATAAAAGACTAATAATATTGCATATATAATAATATTTTCCATCGTGTTTATATAAATAGTTATAGTTTTATTGAATAATTCAGGTATAGCATTAGCAGCTGTTAAATAAATGTATTTTCAAGGGGGAATGAACATATCCCCAATTGAATTATGCGAGGTGACAGTTAGATCATTGGTCGTTATCTTTATCCTCCATTGTGGAATACCAAAGATTCCATTTTGCTTGATACGTATTGGATTGGCATGTTTATTTGTATTTATATATATATATATATATATATATATATATATATATATATATATATATATCAATTTTAATTATTTCTCTTGAGACGAGTTAGCCTCCAATATTTTCATGAATTTTAATTTTTTTAACCGGATATAAAATTGATTTCAAATTAAAATTTAATCACAATTAAAACTATTTGGTGATAAAGGTAGGGAAGCTTCACTATATTATTTTGAATCAATGATCCCCAGTGAATGCCTCTGCAATATTATGGTTAGGCGCCGTATAAAATTGATTTAAATTAAAAATACTGAAACTCTAAAAAGTCATCCAAGATTCCAAGTTAAAAGGCTATTATAATTCAACTTGCAATTGTCACAATAGTTGTTAATAACTAGGGTTATGTTTATCTTATTTTACATGAGATAAACATCTCTTCTACACACACAAAAAGGAGTTGGGTCCCACTACTTTTTTTCTCTCTCTCCTCTTACATGTGGGTCTCACTTATACTTTTGTTTCTACAACATAAGGTAATTCTTTTCCTACAACATAAGAAAAATATATCCCTAATAACTATTCATTTATTAGCGAATAAAACAACCCCAAAGTCTCGATCTACGTGAAACTACAAAGGTGCAGCATGCACGGAGGGATCCACAAAGAAGAAAAATCTGTTTATCGAGTGGTAGAGATTCAGTGTTACTGGTTATCAAATTCAGGCCCCAAACGCACTTGTTTGTCAATATAGATAACCAAAGATGGTGTATCCATTCAAATACATCGTTGCAGCTTTCTCCAACAGAATACCGAGAGCCAAAACATGAAACAATACATCAACATTAGTGTCATTGATTACTATTGGACAATCAACGAGATTCTTTTTTGTTGCCTGACCTCAATTATTAGTAGTTAAAAGAACACTATACATGAATATTTTTACTTCTTCCATTTTTCCCCCTAAAAGAACGAACTACTAAAGGCCTTATTATATAATAATTATTACATGACGAACTCCATTTTTGCAGTTAAATTATATAACATGAATTATTATATATCACCTACTTTGATTTATGATTATTTACTTTTGTAAACAACCAATTCAATCCAAAATCTTAAAATAATGGATGAGGGTCTTTTTAATGGTTTTATATATGTCTAGCACGCCTCTTTATACGAGAACTTATTGGGCTTAAAGGGTGGATGATACATCAGGCTCAGCCTACCTGTACTAAAGAACTCCACAAGAGAAAGTGAAGGGCGATGAGGATTGAACTCATGACACCGAGGCTATGATACCTTATAAAGAACCAATTCACTCAAAAGCTTAAACTGTTAAGTGAAGGCCTCTTTCATGGTTTATATTATTCTCTAACACGTCCCGTCACACGAGAGTCCATTGGACTTGAAGGGTGGATAATGTATCATGCTCAGTCTATCTGTACTAAGAAAGCCTATAATAATTAATTATTTTTATTAAGAGAATGAGGGCGGTAAGGATTGAACTCATGATTACTTGGTTGTTATATTAAGCTTTTGGGTTGAATTGATTCTTTACATGGTATCAGAGTCTCGGTGTCACGGGTTCAATCCTCACCGCTAAGGGCGTAAGTGGGTCGGGTCGGCCTAGCTTTTATAAGGTCAGGCTCGGCTTATAAAACAAGCACGAGCATTTTAAAAAGCCTATTACAAAAGCAAACCATAGGCTTTTTTACATGTCGGGCCTATAAACTTAAAGGTTGACATATATCATATTATTTATTTTAAATAAAATAAAATGATATTATTAATAGTAATACCAAATGGTGATAGTCAATTGATGCATGTGAGCCGAGTACGTGGTGGAAAGACCTAGATTCGATCCCCTCCAATATTATCTTTGAGAGTCACATAAGATCTATATCAATCTCTACGGTAGCATCAAAATCAGCATTTAGTGATTAGAATCAACATTTAGTAATGGAGGAAGAGTTATTGATACTTATCGTTCTAGCTTAGCTGAAGATATCATCCAAGCTTTAATATATAGTGGAGATTGGTTATGTAATAAATATGGCTGGAAGAAAAATAAAAGGTATAAAAAGGTTTTTTGTTTTTAATCTTTTTTTTTCTATTCTTTAATCTTGTTTTTTGTTTTCTACACACCTTGTGTAACATCCCGTATATATCCGGTAATGTTATCATAATATCGTATTAAGCTGCGCTTAATTAAAATACGGAATTACTTTTTCTTTTTAATTATGATGTCATTAGCATTACCAACTTGCTTAATAATCAATTAATAAAACATCGTCTGTATGTAATTGCAATAAAACAGCTAACTGAAATACCTCATAACATAGATAATAAAAGTATGGCTCTAGTCACGGAACTACAACAACGTAGACCGGACCATCTAACAGTTTATACAACTTCAATCTAAAAAGTACTAACAGAAAGTGTCATGGACAATCCCCATGCTCACTCAAATAAGGCAACATGCCCAACATCAGTCTCAACAACAACATATCATAAATAGCGGAAAACATAAACAGCATCCAAATCCAGTCATGCTAACATAAAGCAGTAAAACATAATCAGCTAAGCTCCGGCCTTCTGCCGCCTGAGGCATCAGTACCCATACTACCTGATCCTGAAATAAGCATTCCCCAAACGTGGGGTAAGATCTGTAATCTAGAAATCTCAGTGAGTCAGTGAGTCCTCAAGGATCTTCCACCCCAAGCTCACTTACATGTGCAATATAAGTTCAAAAGCAGTTTATCATTTATCATTTCTAAAACAATGCAATGCAGCAGATAATCATGCCATGTGTGTCAATACTAATCTACTGGCCAGAGACAGTGCAGGTATACGTCTATCACCTACACACCGTGCAAGTACCACTTGCATTCACCCCGGTACACCGTCTTGTATGGCGCTACATACTCAGGCTTCCCGTCAAGATGAAACAACACATGCACATTAAAAGCCATTATATGTAAAGTTCAATCAACATATCAAATATCCAAAAGCATGTACACAGCATGCATAAACCATACCCCCATGGGACATGGTGGAACACAACATGGCTAAACCGAGGACACGAAAGCTTACCTTGCAAGCTAACTCCAAAAGCCAAGAGTCCACAGCTCAAAGTCCAAACACAGCAGATTCACAATCTGTTATGGACCAATACTATATCAATAATAATGCAACACAAGCCTATAAATTAAATACAACGCCTTTCCTTATGTTTTACGTCTTAAGGCTACATACCAAGCCATAAGTCCTTAATCACAAAGATTCTGACTTAGTTCATTAATTACAGAAGTTCAACTTCATCAATCTAGGGTCTACAAACCCCCATAGCCTGCTTTACACACAGCACAGCTACTGTTATACGAAATCCCAGAATATCCGGATATTCCTCGGGACCATATCCGGATATGCCATATCCGGATATCTTACTGGACATATCCGGATATGCAATATCCGGATGTCCAAATCCCATATCCGGATATCCAATATCCGAATATTGTTCGGGCACATATCCGGATATTTCACGACAGAATGCAGAAACTGCATTTCGTGAAGATATCCTTCCAAGGTTGGGTTTTTACCGATTTTAAACACCTAAACATGCATTTCTAGGTGTGTTCAACATTACCCAACAACAAGTTATCATCTTTAAGCCTTAACATGCATCAAG